ATATAACCACTCAAAAATAGCCTAATTACACTCCATAGTTATAATTTGCTAATTACAATTCATAGCTACATATTATAGGGAGGAGAGTGGCAAGCGAGACTAGGAGAGTGAGGAGAGAGACGAGCGAGAGAGGGCAAAGAGTGACAAAGAGGTAAATCGTATATATATATCAGTTAGATAATTGTATATTTACATATGTATTTGTATATTTGGCGAGTGAGATTGGGAGAGGGAGGAGAGAGGCGAGTGAGAGAGGACAACAATTTGCATAATTCGCATCTCGTTTGCATAATTCGCAGGTACGTTTGTATAATTCACAGGTACGATTGTATAATTGGGTAATATAAAATCTGAAATTATACAAATATAATAAAACTCGAAATAACGAATTAATACAAACATAAACGTATGAACTTTAAACAATTATTCAAAATATATTATACAAATTACATTATATAAATTATATTATACAAAATCCAAAAACTACACGTTTATACAAACTTAAAAAATTATACACAAAAAGATTGAATGTATATGATGACAAAACTGAAAAATCAAAGGGAATCATCGTCATATACAAAATACAAACAATCGTATACAAATACAAATCAAGCAAAGAATTGTTAGCTGCGAATTATACATATACAAACGTGGCTAATTATACAAACTCGAAGTCAGCCCACATAATTAATGTATGATGTTAGTCGCGAGTGATAATTATAGCAACCTATAGCTATGATGAATAATTGAATAGTATAAATTTACTTAACCGCGTAATTTTCTCTTAAAACAAGTCATGTTGTTTACTTTTCTCTTGAGCCAAGTTGACGAATGTAAAAATCCCGAGCAAGCACGGAACCCAATATATATTAGGCTACATATGTCACAAATAATGGTAGGGCAGCAATTAGTAAAAGAGTTGTTAATATATAGACACCTATATGCGTGTGTATGCGCGCTATTTATATACTTTTACAGAGGTTTGTTTCTATAGGTGGTAGTTATCTTGTCGTTCTTAATTGTTGTTGCATCTGTGCGACACTGCAGTTGACAAAAAAACATGTTGTTCAGAGGAGAAGTGTATTAAGTAAAAATGGAATGTGATTAATTATGTCGCATACCTTGTTAAAATGTTGGGCATCATGCATATTGTTAAGAGGCAAAAAGAAGCAAGCAAAGGTTCACCTTGTGGCAAAAACTTTCTGAAAGATCAAATATGGAAGTAGGAACAAAGAAAGAATTTTAGTAATACAGAAAAATGGTGTAAGCAAACATAGTGGTCACAAAATTAATGTTAAACAATTTTTTGTGTGAATGCAAATGTATGGTGAAACTGTCAATCACAATACTACTTTCTTCAAGAAAGAAAGAGACAGCAAGGTACTCTAAAAGTAAGGATATAAAACATATCTAATGCTTTAGATGAATAATAGTTATATTCTGAGAAGCAATTAAAACTCTGTCAAAATCTTTTGCATTCTCATTTCGCCCATTTTTTATTTATTTAGGTTAGTAAGATAATACACTTCAGATGATACTCATAGCTAGAATAAATCTCATACAATCCATCAGCATTGTCATCCAAAAAAAAACAATTAACTAAAAAAATGGGACTAAAGACTCAATTCCATGAACAAAGGGAAAAAAAGTAAAAATGAATTCCACATAGTAGAAATCTGAAACTCCAAAATTGCATATCCATCAAAAACCAACATGGAAAGTAAATAGCATAGAAGACGGATCCTCTATGTATAACATGAAACAAAGAGAACCCATTAACTAAATCAGATGACAGGGAAAAAAAAGAACCTATTGGTTTCAAACCACATGTCTATATGTAAAAGCAATTAAACATATCATTGTCAAATTTTAAATTCACAATAAGCAATTGCTAAATTAAGTCCCACAAAAACTAACAATTTAACAATCGATAACACAAAAATTTCAAATTAATTCACAAAATTGTAAGTATTGAGTTTCATTAGGAATACTGCAAATAGTTATAATGGCTCAATGTCGAGTAAGGTAAGATCAACTATATTATGAATCTTCACTGTCCATATCGCTTCATTTAAGCTATGATATCATAGCCAATGTTGTAAACGATATTAAATTGAAAGACGACACCACCACCACCACCAACAACAAATATCCTTCAATCTAGAGCAATTTCAGGTCGAATTTATGAATCTTGATTGCCCATGCCGCTTTGTTTAACTATCGACAAAAGCTATTACCGTACTATCAAGAAAACGAATGTAACCAAGACTTAAATTATGTTTCTGGTGGTGGAGCAAAACTAATGAAAAAGATAAGAGTGGTAACTGAAGATATAACCTGCAATTGAATGTTGCATACTGCCCAAAATAGTAACCTTTCTTCACCGGCAACCTGGTACATTTTTATAGTTATCTACAAGTGATTAAGGAAATAAAATGTAAGCTTCAGTTCCAAAATCTAACTTGTACTTGATAATAAATATTGTCAACCTGCTTCACAATGAAATATTCACGCACATAGCAGATAAAGAGTCCCATCTTTAGGTCTAGGTTATTTGATACTCGTAGAAACTTGTGTCCATATCCACTGTCAAGATACAAAAGAAATTAAAAGATATTATTGAGTGACCATTTTAGTCAGACACAAAAAATACTATATTGAAATTCACTTCTTTGCGATTGTTCAAGTCAAACACACAAAAAATGACTTTTTTTTTTTAAAGATTCTTTGAGTGACACTAATGATCTTGATTTTTCTAATTTTCGGTAAACTATTTATCTTAATTTCCGCCCTAATTTGAATATTTCTCATGTAGAAACCCAACATCATCAACCGATATAAGTAAATGTAAAATAAAAAATTTATGAATGTATTCAACCAAATATAGAAATTGAAGGTAAAATTTAAAAATCAAGAGGAAATCGAGAAAGAAACATAGGAAGTACCTTAAGATTGCAGCAATATCCTTGTGATGAAAGAAAACTGCCCAATTTTTGTTTTGATGTAGTAGAAGAGAATATGATGAAGGTCGATGAAAGAGGCAAGGATGCCAGCACAATAACCACGTGGAATGAAATGGAGAAAGGATAACAAATGAAATGACAAAAATGCCCATAATCAATTAAACATATTCCCCATATTAGCTTTAACCCACTCTTCTAATATAGTAGAAAAAAGAATATTATAGATAGAAATTCATTGTTTATAATATATTAAACTTGCAGAAAAATATTCAAAATATTGCGGGTAAATTGAATTTTGTCAGTCCCAAAATAAATAACTAAAACTTCTTCTGATATTTTCCCGGCGTAATTATTTTTGAAACAAGAAAAAGGAATCAAGTCGTGTTACTTTACAAAATAGAGGACCATATCATATATTTGTAATACTCTACTAATAAAAGGAAATAAATAAATACTAAGAAAAATAAGAGTTCCTTGCAAAGAGGAAAGGCAGCCCATAACCCACGTGTAATGCCCAAACTCAGTCGACACACGAAAGCTAAACGTAACGCTATTAACGAAATAAAAAGTCAAAGCTGCCCTTCTGAGTTATGAAGATTACGCAAAGACGCAATACTTCATATTTATCAAAAATAAAAAATTAATACAGTTACTACTAAATAATTTCTTATCTAACTGTAAGAATAGTCTTCTAGTAACTTTTAATGTACAAGTCAAATGTAAATTAATTTTTTTTTTTTTAAAAAATAAAACACTAGAAAAATATTTAAAACAGCAAATCCAATATGCTTTGTAAGTTTAAGTTAGTTAGGTAAAAGAAAATTTAATTTTTAGTCTGGCAGTCATCTATTCACATTAGTAGTACAAAATAATGTTCTCATATTTGGACTAAAATGACGAACTAGTTTATTATTAGTAGATTTTATTAACCTACTAATCTGATTCAGTTACAAGTCGATTTTTTTATGAAGATTCTAAAAGCTACTGCATCTAGAAAAGGCATCGTAGTACATTGAAAAAGTGAATTGACATGACGAAAAGATGACCACATTTTATTTTCATCCTCTTCTTTCTCTCTCCTACTTGTACGATTTTTATGTATACTATTCCTCTGTTCCACAGCTTACATAAACCACGACTCCTTCCCCTTTTCTTCTTCATCAAATTTGTTTAATTTTGAAGTTATTTCTGTAATTTCGTTTTTTTTTTGTTTTGGTTATAATTTGATTCTTCCATCATGAAAAGAAAGGGGATTGAAGAATTAGATGATCAAAACAGGCCGATTGATAGACTCCCCTTTGACCTCTTGGCACACATTTTTGCTATGCTTACTTGTTTCAAGGATTTGGCTCAGTTAATTTCAGCTTCTTTTTCTCTTTAACTTTTTCCCTTTTTGTTTAATTTGGTTTTTGGGTTTATTTGTCGTTTTTTGGTACTTGTTGTAGGACCAGTGCTGTGTGCAGGAAATGGAGACAGGGGGTGAAGGAGTCGTTAGCTAGAAGAGAAAAAATGAGTTTTTCTGGCTGGAAAGTGGATGATGATTCAACTACTCGCCTCGTGCTTCATGCTTACAGTCTCAAGGAACTTGACATGTATGTATGTATGTATGTATATATGACTTTTTGAGTTTATACCATTAGTTTTGTACTCTATACTTGTTCCAAGTTAGTTTGTTTATTTTCTCTGATCGCATACTCTTTTAACTAAAATATAGATGGTTGTGGTACATTTGATGAAACACTATTTTAAAAAGGGGGAAAATGATTGAATCAAAAAGGATTTTGAGGTATCTGAAATGAGAATGCTTTATAGTAGTAGTAACAGAAAATTCGAGTGATTTTCTTGGACTAATTAACTTCAGTAAGACTTGTCGAATCTTTAATTTATAGCCATGTTTAGACCATTGATGGTCTTCTTTTCAACTTTTGCAATCAGAGTAATCAATTGCTCGTGTCATCTATCTTAAGTAAGATAAGCAACACCTTTTAACTTCTGAAAATCTGGCTAGGTCTAGACTGTGTGCCATTAATAGATTCACCACATCGTCTTACCTGTAAGCTGCTCGCTCTTTGTGTGTTGTACTGTTCTGACTTGTTTGCTTTCTTCAGTTCGAGGAGCCGCTGGGGTTGTCAAATAACAGATCGTGGGCTGTACCAATTGTCAACTGCTAAATGTGTTAGCAATCTATCATCACTATCTTTATGGGGAACTACTGGGATCACTGATACAGGTGTTGTTCAACTGGTATGTTGTCCTCATTGTTTATCGTATCCTTGATTTGTGATATTAAGTAGGTGTAGTTAGATGTTATTGTTTTAGAGGCTTATGTCTATTGTTACCATATTTACTTGAAAATCTTTTGATAATAACATTTTGAACTTTCACCCCTTTAATTTTATGGCTTTGCATGCATATGTTTTGATTCCCCGAATAAGGAATATGTTTGTTAGGAAAAAAGGCTGATGGCTGAGGAGCTGGAGCTATCTTGTTACCTCAATGTGTACTTAAACAATTGCTTTTAGAATAGGAAAGAGCATCATATATTAATTAGAAAAGAGAGATTTCTTCACCTGTTAAATCTGCCTGTACTTTTCGGTGAAATTAGCTGCTTATGTATAGTTCAAGTAGACTGTTGCCTCATTTAGTTTTGGGTTTTCTGATAGATCTCCAGAGCTAATTCTCTACAGCATCTGAATATTGGTGGTACATTTATAACAGACACATCCTTGTTTGCTATTGCTGGTAGCTGCCCACACTTGAAGGTAAGTCTCTGAAAATTCCACACCTTAAGGTCGCATCACCAATTCACGCTAGTGTTTACTTTTTCCACTGTAATAATAAGATATAACTCGAAAATGTTTGATTCACGGGATTTTTAAGATACGAATACTTGTCCATCTCTTTTGCAGTCTATTGTGCTGTGGGGCTGCCGTCATGTAACTGAGAATGGGCTTCTAGCTTTGGTTAATAAGTGTCGCAAACTAGAGTCTATCAATGCATGGGGCATGAGGGTTACCGTGGACTGCTTTGTTGGCCTACTCACTATTAGCCCAGCTCTACAAATAGAACCTAAAGGAATGCTGCCTAATATTGCTGTCTTTTGAGGAGCCTTTAAGTTCCTGTGTGACCTTTGTCTTTGAAGGGCCATCCACCTGAATTGTTATTGCATTATATCTTGTGTACAGCTTGTCAATTGTTTCATTGACCAATAATGCTTTGTACAGATTGCTTTTCTGCTTCTCCTTTGTATTTATTTGGACATTGCCTGCTGCAGGGCTTCTGAAAAGTTCCGATCTGCTAGTAATTATTAAAATTCCATTTCTCCTTGTCAGATGGTTCATTTGGAATCTAAAATCCTAAGAATTTCTGCAGTGTTCATTCCAATTCATAGAGATTTCGTCGCACTGAAGAAGTATCACATGATAATAAACTTATATATTGTAGTATTAAAGTGGTCTAAAATGTGACTACTTTAAATTCTAGTTTAATTTTCAGACCTGGAGAATGGCTACACTAAATAATTGTGATGGTGGTGACCAACATTGAACCAAAGGCAGAAACTTTGGAGAGAAGAAAAAGATTGCATGATCGACAACATCATTTATTACACACAATTAATACTTGATGAATTGACCTGGAAAAAAAGAAGAAGCTGAAGAGAAGATAATAAATGAGGTGTCAGAGAAAAGTTTACTAATACATAAAAAGTTTTACTTATATCCATTGATTATATAAAAGCTGAAGCATTTTAACACTCTAGGTAGCAACATGAGGAACTTAACATTTTCATACTGGATATTAACCAAAATTCACTCGAAGAATAAGACTACCATTGTCATCATACCAAGGGGAAAAAACTGGCAGCTAGAAAATGACATGGGATGTGATAAAAGTACCTGTCACATGTTGATACTCTTCTACAATCCCTTACCTACTACTATATCAAAATCTCCTATAAAATGACAAGTTCTTTTTTACTAGGAAAACGTCAAGCTGAATGTTCATCATCTCTGAACATGCCGAAGTGGGATTCTAGTGTATACTGTACCTATTCCGACTCCATAATTCTACACAGGAAAATATAGTAGATATCGAGCATCCGTGGATGAAACTCATGTAAACTTCTGCTTGGAACTCTCTCTTTTTCTTCTCATAATAGAAACAACATCATTACAGATGACAATGAAAATAGGTATACAGTACTGGAAAAATGGATTGCTGAAGCATGGCCTGTTAATTGCACGGACCCTGAAAACATTCCAGCAGTATTGGTTGCTGTTGGAGCTGCATTCGCTGCAGTAGTATTCTTACAAACTCCAAAATGTACCCCCGCCTGCAAAAAAAGGAAGTCCATTTAAGCACAAGTTCTAAAATGTTATTTTTGTAACAACTTTGAGGCTGCTTCCTAGTCAATACAAAAAAACTCAAGTACAACCATGTTTTCTTTTCCCTCAACTTCAAGTAAATCTTCCAGAACAGTCTATTACTCAAATGTAAACTATTCCCTCGTTCCCAAATTGAATGTCAACCTTTACTTTAGAAGGCTATGATTAGTCCAAAGGGCGGCGGGTCACACGCGGATTTCTCGGTTATAAAATTAAAAAAATAAAATGGTATGCTTCAAAAATATTACACAGGGGCCTATTTTCACTCATCTTAATCCAGCTTTTCTTGATTCTGTATTCTGAAAAGGAAAAGTGAAACTATGGCCTCATGTATGCATGCCTCCAATACATCATAAACAACTCATTATTTCAACTTTTCTCTAAATAACAAAGTTAAGCCAAGCTAAGACATTTCAGTTGGAACCAACAGAATGATAATGAGGCATGGTCAGACATGTCATCTGAGAACAAACTGTCAAGTATGTGGTTGGTTTTTATATTGAGATATGTACTTCTTAAAGGCTGCTGCTGAGAATCTCAGTGATGACCCTATATTTCTGAAGAATTGTTTGACCAACAAAACTCTTTAAGCTTAAATCTACATATAATAGATCCCTCAGAATGTTTGCAATATCCATGAAGGCGAAAGCAGTTTATCATAATAATAGCTAATGAAGCTATGTAATCAGGTCAATGTTAAGGAATTTTGTGGGTTCAATCATGCCAATGTCCTTCCAGCACAAATCTTCCAAATTTTATCAAAGATTAGTATCAAAAGATCACGTCACTCATCAAAGTCGTGTTTAAGATCAGATCTTCCAGGGTTGTCATCATATTGCACGTTTTTATTTTGAGACATAGGTTACAAAGGAGACTAGGAAGGAACATCCTATATCAGAACTTTTTGACCATATTTAGGCAAAGATGGTGCCAGACTGCCAGTCAACTCTCCTGCTGATTGCTAAGTTATATTTTTATCTATTCATGCGAGGATGTTAACTATCATGGGCTAGCCTCACCACTTCTATCATGAATAATACATCAAATTTGTTTAAATTCACAGAAAAAGAAGCTGCAATCGATGTTTCAAGCTTCTGTGATCTGATAAATCATATAAGTAGCATGCTATTTCTCATCTACAAGCTTTCTTCAAAAGCTATTTCTAATTGTGGACTTTAACTTCTTTTTTTTTGGACAGACTTATGTTACTTTTTCTACTGCCGTATGGAAAAAAAATGTGTCACCTACGGACCACATAATTCAAACTCAGACTCAACTTAAAGAAATTCAATCATGGTTCTTCCTCCTATCTCTCTTCATAGAGTGAACCTTTGGCACATAGACACATGTTTACAACTAAAGCAGTTATCCAAATATCGAATATTTGAGAAAAGATGGGAAAACCTGGCATGCCGTGACAGTCGGGCAACCACATAGTGTCCGACCGTTCATTTGATCTAAAACATCAAAAACTCCTCCCCCATCACTTCTCTGCAGGATTTTGTTTTTCATCAGTCAATGTTGGAAAATATTTAGTAATTTTGCATAAGCATCAGTAAGCAGTAAATATTTTAATACCATGTAAAAGTTTACTGCCACATAATTGGGCATCATGTTGCCTGCTGCTTTGTAACAGGCACCAACCGTATCAACAAATTGAGTTGAATGCTCTTTGCAGGCTCCATCTTGTACGGCAACTGTGGGAAAGTAATTCATTAGAAACAGAGAGGCACTTCTGGAATTAAGTGCCTTTGATTCCTTACGACTGGAGCATGAGCCAGGCACCACTCCGGGGTCTCCAGCTGAAACATTATTACCACATATGATTGCTAAAGAATCAATCCACAAACCAGAATCACCAAAAAGGAGCACACTGATTTAGTACTTACGCTCATTTTCAACCATGTATCTCCACTGATAAGCAATTCCTTCAGCAGCTTCCTTGGAAGAGTCAGAAGTAAAAACCAACAAACGATAATTTTTTTTAACCATATCATTCACGGTGGGCCAATCATCACCCTTTCTCGGCATCTTAGAAACAGGAAACCAATACTTGCCCAACCCAGCATCAGCAAATACCCTTGTTAAACCCTTTGGGGAATGCACATAATCCTCAATTATGATGGTGACTATTTCTGTAGGATTTGCGCTCAAAAATGCCTCCACCTCTTTCAAAGTGTTAATTGCCGGTTGCTAGAAAGCACATTTTACGTATTAACATCAGAATAGCTACTCAAAAGCAATCTCACATCAAAAGAAGAGAGGGATTGTATAACATTACAAAGGCAGTGAAGTTGTAACATTGGCCACGAAATGAGTGACAGAGCCATATATCGTTCTCGAAATCGTACATATCCAGCATCAATCCCCTCACTCCATTCTAGGAAGATACATAAATTAAACAGAAATTGTGTAAACAGCATAAAAACTCATGTCCTTGAACAGAATGACGAAGAGATGAAGGTAAATCACAAATATAAGAAGCCACATACTCTCAATTGGTTTGTGACAGTGTCTTCTTGATTATAGAATGTAATTCTCTGAGGGCCTGTCAATAATGGTGCATTTACCATTGAAAAGGCATTATGGGTCACCAGCCACGAGTATTTGTTGAAGGGCAATCCACTGATCTGCTCATCGCCAAGTCCAAAAAGAGAACAAAAGCATTTTACATCATCCTTACTCAAAAACAACAACAATAGCATACCCAGTGTAATACCACAAGTGAGGTTCGAAGAGGGTAGAGTGTTTGCAAACCTTACCCTAACCTCATTATGAGATAGAGAAGTTGTTTCTGATAAAACCTCAGCTTAGAAAACAGAAATTGCAGAGGAGAGTAAAGAAAGTTAGAAAGAAGGAGCAATAAGCTTACAATGGAAGTGGATTCTATAGCTTGCCCTCTGATGCAAAAGGGCTGATCCTTTCCCAATTCAGGGCAATTACCACAGTATAAAGAAGGCCCACAGTCCGTAGCCGAAGCACATGAATCAAGAAGCTGTAATATTCATGAAATTTCAGCTGAAACCCACAAATGAAAATTGAAAATTGCACGGATCTGCAAATGGGGTTCAAGAATTCATACAAGAATTGCGTATACAGACCGCAAATATTCAAGAAAATGAGTATTTATCCCCAACAATTCCTTGTAGCATAAGGTATATATCAAGAAATCAAGAAAGAGAGAGGAACCTGGCAATTCCCATTAGAACAAGCAGTTGAACAAATGATGAGTAAGCAGTGAACAGCTAAGTGACACAGTACCAAAATGAGGTAACCATTTGCGCCTCCTCCTCCTGTGCTGTGTCTTCTCCACATACTGTGCTTCTCCGAGAAACACGACAGCATGGGAGTAGTCAAGATATTGATTGAAAAACACTAGTCTTGATAAAACAAATATTGTCGCTTGTATAAAAGGAAAAGAAGAAAATAGAGAAAAGAGCAAAAGGCAAAAAGTCAAGAAATGAAAATAGTGAGTGAGATTTATGAGAGACGACGACAAAGAAGATGCCAATGTTTGTGCATCTCTATCCACTGTCTGCCAACTGCTAAACCAATTTTATTACTCCCTAGTCCTATATTGGTGGTTAGGAGTAACGTTTTATTTGAGGCGAGGCCAATTAGTGGATGCTAAAATCGACTAATCTCCAAGTTCAAAAATAACAAAATCTATAAATAACTAATTTTGTAGAGTGTATAATACTCTTGTTTCTAATTACTTGTTCACTTCTCCTTCTTTTAGTTATTCCAAATTACTTGTCAATTTTGACAAATCAACAATCTTTTTACCTATTATACCCTCGATTAATTATTTTGAAAAAGATAGAACTTTTTTAAAATCGTAAGTTTTTAATTCATCCACTTCATAATTAATAAGAGTAAAATGGTAAACTTACTATGTCAATAATTATTTTCTTAATAGGTGTGTCAATTCAAAAGTAGACAAGTAATTA